AAAAAAAAAAAAAAAAAACTTTAGTAGGGTTAGGTTAAGTCGCTCTCACCATAATAGCAAATGACTGTCTTATTGCTTTTTTGGCCATAGAGAACTGATTCAAAGGACACCCACGATTGTGACAATTCACAACTCATCTTCCTCATTTTTCTATAAAATAATCACATTTCTACTTTATTTTCAACACCCATAATTTTTATTTTATTTTTTTTAGTAAGTGTGCACAAAGCACAATGGATGATAGATCCAACTTTAAATGACATTTCATTTTTCTATTTAGTCACATGTTTTCTTGTTTTATTAAGAATTTTGCCTCATAATTAAAATAATTAAGAGATTCTTAGGTCCCGTAACCATTTCGTCGGGATTTGTAACCGTTAGATCAATTATCCGCGACGGTTACTTGATAATTTAACGATTACAAATCTCAACAGAATGGTTCCGTTACGGACTGTAGCATTTCCTTAAAATTATATGGCTTAGTTGTGCTTGGAAAGAAATAAATGTATCAATTTCACATCCATCAAATAAAGTAATGCATGAAAAAGGGAAACACAATTTCAAGAACACATTCAACACAAAATACTAGCTAGATCAAGAACTTTTTTTTTTTTTCTAAATAATTTCTAAATAAATAATATATTTCTAAAGTGTGTAATTTATTGAAAAGACATAATTTTGTAACTAATCTAGAGTTCAAAATGTTTGGAATTGCACCATTATTTAGTCACATATTTATATAAACCTAAAACAATACTCGAAAACACACAGTTCGCGCGATTATTGATTAAATCTAATCTCGGATATTTGTTACAGTTAATTAATTCAAATTTCATCATATAATATATATAATCCCACTTCACATATATATAACATAAATAATATTTGAAATGTATTGGGGACATATGTTATATACATGATATAACATGTACACAACATGTACTAGCCATTTGTCCCTTGTTCAATAACAACATTACATACACTCCCATTTGACACTTTCAATAATGCAAATATCATATTACTTCAAAATTATCATATATAAGAATCTTAATTTAAAAGAGTTAATTAGTTTTTCAATATTAATCTTCACCAAATATACACAATCTTTTTTTTTTTTTTTTTTTTTCTCAAGATCCTAAATAATATAATACTCCTGATCATTATATGTCAATAGCAACTATCTCCTCCAAAGAGTTAAACAAGGAGCATCAAATCAAACAATTTTTTCTTTTTCAATCCGAACTTACCGAGATATACGAAGGCATCTTTAATTCCTTCTCCATCCATTAAAAAAACTCGGCATACACTGATTTCGACAAACACTGATCACGATTCACGAGGGTCTGCTTAAAAACTGAATCCCATTTTTGTGCGGCCAATTCATGTTGTAATTTGCGGGCGATCTCATCTGGAATCCTGATGATGCTGCAGCATTGGCAAAAACCGGAACACTTTGAAAATTACCATTCATTTGCCACTGCTGTAACTGTAACTCGTTTCTGTGGGCCACCCCCGGTAAATGATGCGCCTGTGTACAATTTCGAATACTCATAAAAAAAAAGGTTTGAAAATATAAATATCGTTCATGTGTACTCATAGTAAAAAAAAATAAAAATTAAAATTGAAATTCCTACACGATAATTTGACGAGTTAAATGGTGGGCCAAGCATTTGATGATCAAACGCGTTATGGGGTTCGTTTGTTGTTCTACTCATTAACGGTCCGTATCTTTGAACATGATCATTGTTGTTGTTCGTGACCTTAAACGAGCCAGGCGAGTTGAGGTGCGTTTGGCTTAGAAGCTGCAATGTTTCGGTCTCGTTGTATACTGGCCCATCCCTTCTTCGGGAGTTTTCGATGCCAATTGAACTCGCATTGTTCTGAAAGTAATTATAAGCTAATTATGATTACTATCATTGAAAAAAAAAAAAAGAGAATGAGCAAAATTAATTTAAAAGTCAAAGTAACTATTTAATTACACAGAAGTACCTCATGAGGCCTTGATGTAGTAGAGTTGCCTAAACTGAGGTCCAAATTATGGTCTGCTGCACTACTGGAAGGCTCTGATGTCCAAAGGGAAAAAATAAATAAAAAAATAAATGCCAATTATCCAATAGTGTATTACAATAAACTAAGGTCTTCATTTATATATATATATGTACCAATTAATAGAAATAGATTTAACTTTATTCGAAATAAATCGATATTAATCCAAGAGCTTTCATATTGAATAATCGAGAATCATAACCGAATAGCGGAAGCATATCTGATGGATTCATGCTTATTGGTTAATTAAATTTTGGGACTTGGAAATCTTCCAAAAGACCGTGATCCTTATTTTCTTCTTATTTCCTTTATCGGACGTATATAGGAAAGAAAACTGATGAAGCATTTGATGTTAATATTCATAATAAATTACCAGCAGCACTGAGTTCTTCTTTATAAGTACTGGGATCAAAATTGGTAACAGCTTCCTTCCCATTGCATTTGATTGCTGCTTTATCATAAGCCCTAAAATCATACCACAATTATAAAAAAATTTTACAATTCAACCCAATTATAAAAATTTTACAAAAAAAAAAAAAAAATGAAAAAAAAAACCCACCTGGCAGCTTCAATTTCTGTATCAAAGAGACCCAAGTAGACATACCTGCAGTTCAAACAATGGTACCATATTACAAAATAAAAATAAATTTTTTATAAAGAAACTTATTATGATCATATGGAATTAATTAAATTTAATTTAATTTAATTTTTTATATACTTTTTGCCTAGAAATTGGCCCATTCTTGCTTCCCATCTACCACATTTATGCAGAGTGACCCCTCTATACTTTGAGCTCCCTCTTGGAAAACCAGTGCTTTGTCTCCTTAGTACATGCACAAACTCCTCCTTTGTTAAATTGCTCATCTGAACAACAAAATAATCTTAAAAATAGTAATAATAATAATAATAATAATAATAATAATAATAATAATAATAATAATAATAATAATAATAATAATAATAATAATAATAATAATAATAATAAAATGACATAAATACCTGTTTTAAGTCATCTTCATAATCCTCCAAACTAAAGTTAATGTCTGCTTCAACTCCTCGGAACTTAATTGCTGCCCTATCATATGCACTGCAAATTTAGACATTCAAAACAAAAATTGTAAGAAGAAATCAGTACTCTTTATATATACAAAAAATAAATATATAAATAAATAAATAAATAAATAAATAAAAATTAACTATATATATATATATATATATATACCTTTTAAAAGGATATTATTAATTGATTGAAATTAGCTAGCAAGAAGAAGCTCACCAGGCTGCAGCATGAGCTGTATCAAAACCACCTGCAAAAATTACCCCCACACAATTTTTGAACACCAAATTAATTAAGCCAATCAGAGATCTTAATTTCACAATAAAACCCTGAAATTATTTTATTTTATTTTATTTTTTTTTAATTCAAGAAATGATTTTTATGATGAGAATTGAAAA